ACATCTAAAACAAAAACCAACTCCAGAGTCAAGATTTATAAGGAGAGAGAGGCTCATTACTACCAGCACAGCCACACAAATTTAGGAATTCCCTCCCTTCGTATGTGATGAGAATGACTTTCCTTCCTAGCTTATGTTTATACACATCTGTCCCAATTTCTCCTGGAAAACTCAATATTATTATTCCTGTTCTCAATCCAGTCTTAACCTAAGCCATTCCCTTTATGAGGGGAAATCCTCTATTAACAAGGGTTCATTCTTGGTCTTCAATCTATCATGTTCCTTAAATCTGTGTATTCTGTCACTGTCAAATCTTTTCCAGTCCTAAGAGGTAAGAGTTATCAGTGTCTGTCCCTAGGACAATGTAATAATTCAACTGTAAACTTAAAAATTTACAGCCAATTTTGAAAGAGATGCATCTTAGCTTAGGAAATTGTTATTGAATATGTAAATGCTGGCGTAATGAAATGCTTCTTCTAAGTATGTGATTATTAAATAATTTTTAAAAGGGAGGGTTAAAGGGTATGTGACTCTGATAAAAATATATACATGTATGACATTGTCACAGAATTAAAATTATTTGTAAAAACTAAAAGAAAACATACATTTTAATATAAAAACTTTAATAAAAGAAAAAAAAACATTTATTACTGATTATTCCATTTAAACACATATAAAATAGCAACTTAAAAATATAAATGAGTCCTGAAATAAACATAATTGTTTTTCACATTACATGAGGAGAGACTATATAGACCCAGGTCTCAAACTGTCCATGTTCTTTTATTTTTAATAAAATAAAATATGACAAAATCGTTCATTATATCTTTTCCCAAAAATATCTTGCTACACTATAGCATGGTTCATTAGATTCTTGGGGCTGTCATTTTTAAAGGACCACAAACCTGTTGGCTGAAAACATCATAGATTGTTACAGTTTTGGAGGCAGGAAGATTCTGAAAGATAGAGGAGTAGGAGATAAGTATCCAGAGCTAGACCTGCAACAGGCAAGGAATATATCTTCCTTTATTCAAAGAAGATACAGTGAGAGGTAGAGTCTGTCTGTGGGACCAAGCATCTAAAACTAAACAAAGAAACCAGGGGGAGTTTATACCAGGGTTGTGGGACACAAGTACACTTAGTGGGGAGTCGAGTTAGTGCCCTGGCTTTAAGGTCTCCTTCTCAAGATTATTTACCCAGGAACTGGCAGGAAAGTTATCTATGGCCTTAGAGGAGACAGGTGGGCTCCACAAACATTTCCTCTCAATATCTCTTTTCAATGCTAAATAAGTGATCCTGTGTGCATGAGTGTGTGTGTGTGTGTGTGTCTTTGTGTGTATGTGTGTGAGTGTCTGTGTCTGTGTGTGTCTGTGTCTGTGTCTCTGTCTCTGTCTATGAGAAAGGGGAGAAAAATGAGGGGAGAGAGAGAGAGGTGAAATTGGAGCAGTTGTTGGTAGAGGGTGAAGATGGGAGATTGGGAGTGACCAGGTGATAAGGGATGAGCAGAGTCAGGTTTTTAATCTATAACTGTTAGATCACTGGGGAAACTTTGAACTTTTACAATTTAGAGCCTTTCGGCCACTGTGATGGTTTTTATGCCTTTATGGATTCCTCTAAGGAAGCTCATGGTTTTTCTGAGGTTCACATATTCTATCAAATGGAATAAAGGACATATGTGTGCTTACCTAGCAGATACCTACCCACAGCCCTCTGTGCCCTCACCTACTTAAAACTGTCTCATTTGTTAGTGGCTCAAGGAATCTTTTTTAAAATCCTGTCTCCTCCCCACCCTCCATTCCTGGCCCCTGAGCTCAGCATCCACAAAGTTAAGGGTTGCCTGTACAATAATCCCAATCAAAACATCTGCGAAACATACCTATGCAATGACAGGTATATATTGATGGCCACAGAATGGTAGCTGATATTACATCTATGTAGTAATATGTGGGAAAAGATGTATGCAAGTGTAGGAGATGATAGACTTAGTTTTCATGAGAGAATTGATCAAACAATGGCTTTCTCTGTTAGAAATAGGAACTACTTATTTGAAAGGAGAATACTTAAAGTATGTGCATTGGAACAGAATAACAAATATCAGGTTAAGTTCATGCCTTCTTTGGTAGAGAAATAAATATCTGTGTCTGTATATGAATAGAGGGGTTAAATAAATAACTTCTAGTTCTGCTTAAAGAATGACTCTTCAAACACCAACAGCACCCATAGTTTCTAAATAAAGCCTTAATAGAAAAGTAATATCACTCTATGGATAAATGCTTATTTTTAATCTAGTGTAAGGAAAATACAGCACAATCCGAAACCTGCCTTCCAAATTCAGCTTTCACCTTATCACTAGCTGCAATACAAAAAAAGTTATTGGATATCTGTGGTCATTCCTTAAATTTCCTCTAAGTGAGATGTTTCAATTTTGAAAGTTTCTGAGTTCTCAGGACTTAGTGAAGTGGCTCTTTGAGAATATAGCTGCCTTATCAATTCATATTCCCATTTATTATAAAAGTATTACTACATAGATTTATTTAACAACTTCATTATGCTTTTCCACATTTCATATGAAGTGCTAGTCTGATACCTTTACCTATAAAATGAATAGTAATAAAATTGAGAATGTTTCTCTATGTGAAAGATCAAAAACAACACCTTAGGGGAGTGGCAGTAAATCCTACAGCTGCCTGCCTCATGCATTGTCCATGATGTATCTGGAGTTGAGATTTATGAAAACTTTTGTAACCCTGGGATATCCAGGATCCACAAAGGAGTAATAAGCATCAGTTTTGTCCACTTTGCTGATAATGAGGAAAAAACTGCCCTGGAATGACCATCAATGAACTGTGTTGGGATTCAAGCCTTGAATTGTTTTACTTATCTCATTCAACAGTGTGCGTGTCATGGTTTTCATTCACCTTTTATACCTGTCCTCTTTCAGTTCCCTGAACGTATTTATGAATGTTTCATGATTCTCTGGAGATATTTCTACAAACATTATTATCTCCAAATCTGGATGGTTAACAACAGCTCAACACAAAAATAATATGTACAGACTGGGTGCGGTAGCACACGCCTTTAATCCCAGCACTCAGGAGGCAAAGGCAGGCAGATCTCTGTGCATGAACAAATCTATCTTTATAAAAATTAAAAAAAATTCTTATTACATCTCTGTGTGTGTGTGTGTGTGTGTGTTTGTGTGTGTGTGTGTGTGTGTGCTGCATGTATGCTGTTGCTAACACAGAGACCTGAAAAGATTATCATATTCTCTGGAGTTGGAGTTACAGGTGGTTGTCAGCCACAGGAATGAATGCTGGGACCTGAACTTGGGTCCTCTGGAGGAGCAGCAAGTATCAAGCTGAGTGATGTCTCCAATCACAAAAAAATCCATCTTGATTAGTTTATCATGCTTTCTTTATACAGTTGTCAGCCAGTCCTTTCCTAAAATTATCAGACATGACTCACATTCTTCCTACCAAGATTTGTGCTGCATGTATGCTGTTGCTAACACAGAGACATGAAAAGATTATCAGAGTCCCTGGAGCTGGAGTTACAGGTGGTTGTCAGTTGCAGGAATGAATGCTGGGAACTGAACTTGGGTCCTCTGGAGGAGCAGCAAGTATCAAGCTGAGTGATGTCTCCAATCACAAAAAAATCCATCTTGATTAGTTTATCATGCTTTCTTTATACAGTTGTCAGCCAGTCCTTTCCTAAAATTATCAGACATGACTCACATTCTTCCTACCAAGCTCCTGTTCTACCACTATTGGCTATGACCTGTTTAGCCACAGGTTCTTGCTCCAGTAATGGTTACTGGTATTGATTTCATCTGTGGAATGGGCCTCAAATCTAAGCTAAGAGCAGTTTATTGTTCCCATAACAATCGGATTCACTATTCAACAGTGTGGGTGTCTTAGCAGGCTATTTATTATTATAGCTCACAGAGACCACAGTTGAGTAATTTACTTTTTCATTACGTTCTATGACTCAAGTATATAGTGTCTTCAGCATTAGAGTCCTAGCATCAGGTTATGGAGAGTATCCATTAACAATGACAATAGCCAGCAATGTTTCTTGGTCTTTGGGACTTAACAGCTCAAAAACTTCAAAAGAGGTAACATATTTCTGGCCTTTGGATTTTTATTTGTTAGTGTATGTAAGCAAGTATCAAGCTGAGTGATGAAGACCAACAGAAATCACATCCTGGAAACGGAGAGCTGATGTTGCTTGGATAGGGCTAATCTGCACCAAAGAGTCCACGGGCTCTTTGGGGATTCACCAATAGCACCTGTGTGAGGTGGGGACTCTAGACAAGAAATATCAAAGCAGATTCAGTTAGAGTTGAGTATTCAGGGTATTCAGCACATATATTCTGTTTCCATTCTTCTCCATTAGCTGCATTATTAGATATGGAGAAATGTACATGTACTATTGCTATGGAACACGTGGCAACATCTATGTAGTGGGCCAGGAGCTAAACGAGAGAAGCTGGTAGAGGGCTTTGCTTTTCTGCATCCTAGTCCTCAGAACTGTGTGCATTAATGAAGGCAGCAGCATCTTAGAGGAAATATCTTAGTGACTTGGGAATAGCATAACAAGAAATATGTATACAGGAATGTGGAAATACACAATTTGAGCACGAATCCAATCCTGTGACATTTTTTTAAATGAATGAAGCAAAGAACAGAGAGTGTTTTGTATGTTGCCATCAATTTGAACATGAATGCAGCCATTTTTGGTTTGGGGGAATTGCATGATATATTCTTAGAAGAGAATATATGTAACGCAAGGCACGTGAAGCTTCGTTTAGAAAGAGATTTTGTCCCAAATAGTATAATCGAATAAAGAACCCCTGGGAACCAGTTATTGTAGTTCATCCCTCTAATTCTAGGACTATAAAAGCTGAGGTCTGTGCTGTGAATTCCAGACCAACCTGTGGTACAGATTGAGATACTGTGTCAATTCTCCACCCTTCAAAAACCCCTTGTTATACTTTTTCCGGGCTCACTTTGACAGCACATATACTAAAATTGGAAGCACACAGAGAAGATTAGCATGGCTCCTGTGCAAGAATGACACACAAATTCATGAAGCACTCCTTATTTTAAAAAAGCTACACCTTTTCCTTTCTGTTAAATATTCTAGTCATTTTGTTCCCGAAACTATTTCTTCCGTGGTTTCATTCTCTTTCTTGGCATTCCCAAGAAATGATTTATGCTCTGTATCAGAAATGGGGTTTCTCATACATAGTTTTCACAAGTATATGAAAGATCATAGTAGAATTTTCAAATTGTAGACTGAATATTTTAACATATCTCCAGGCTTATGTGTTCTACGCTTCATTTAGAAACCTGTATAATGTTTCTGGTGACTCAGAAAGGCCAAGATCCAAATAGAAGGACTCTATTTATACTTCTCAGAGGTAATATAAGATCAGCGATGCTTATCTTTACTCTGACATCTTATGCCAATTATTGAGCTGTCTACCCCATACCTGAGATTTCAGGTACATGAGACAGGCATGCATAGCCACCATTCACAATATGAACAGCACTTGGTCACCGGTGTCTATATCACATTATTATGAGGAAATGCTAGAGAAAACTTGTAAGATAAATTATGTTTTAATTATTGAGGAGTGAATAAGAGTTCTTGGGACTAAGACGTCATGAAATAGTTTGAACAAGATAAGGATCTTAATGGTTTAGTGTTAGCAAATTTGAAATCTCTTTCTATATACTTTGAAAATATACATTATCAACAATGTATATCTATCTCTAATGCTTCCTCTGAAGTATCTCATTTATTTTCCCATTAATATTATTTCTCAAATTTTAGGAAAATAAAATTTTCAGAGTATGTGAATAGATGTCTTTTCAGATGATATACTTATGTGATCTCCAGCCAGCCTTGGATCCAGGCAGACTCCATTTCCTCCAGCTCAGATCCCTGGACTAGATTTCTAACTCAGACTAGCTAAACACCTGTAATTCAAATTCACTGCTGGGAGGTGCAGGTGGCATCCAATCCCCTCCTCCCATGGTGCTTGCAACAGCCTGAGGAAAAGAGTCTCCAAATCCTGGTTTAAAGGTCTTAACGAGTTTATTGGAGTTGCTAACTGAGCTTGGGGTGTGGATTTACTTACAGACAAGTGGGCACACCCCCCTATTAACGGCTATGTTTGAAAGTCCACAACCAGACAAAAATGCTGTGGTTCTGGACAGCCCTACAAAATGGCAAGAGAATAGCCTTGTGGTTTGCCCAGCTCTTATACCCTTAGCCCCTCCCCTGCAAGTGGCTGTGGTCAACCAATTGGCTGGAAGTGGGAAGGGGAGTGGCTTCTTTGCAGAGCATGGGAAGGAGGCCGGTCCAGGGCTTGGCATCACAGGGTCAGAGGAACATCCTCTGGGTCTCACTCTCCACCCTTTCCTCTGGGTCTCACAAAACTTTCTGCCCACTACTTCCGTGAATATCCCTTCACCTCAGAGGGGGTGGGGTAACCTTTCTCCCATTGTAATAGGGCACTGGACTCTTCAAGTCTAAGCATCCTCTGTTTGTCATAGGCTGATGGCTCAATTTAGTGGGATTCCACCTACAATGAAAACACAAACTGTAAGAAGCAAGACCGTGTAGACAGTAACTGCCATGGGCATAAACACAATTGCTTGGATGATACTTTAGTTGGTGCATGGCACTGGTGTTCAGGCTTGCTGACACCACCCCCTCACTTTTGCAAATATGCATGCCATCTTTGCAGCATTTGGTTTAGGTACACCCCTGACAGGGTCATGGCTAACAGGCCCTCCACCCATCATTTTATGGGATATGCAGTTTTTACTGTAATGGGGATAGGGCCCATAACAGATTCTACCTGTTGCCATCCTTTGTACCCAGCCAGCAGTCACTGTTCTAATGCTGTGTACTGGGAATCTGCCCCTTTCAATGCTTGTGACCAGAACCCAATTGGGATAGTCTGTTCAGGTTGTTGTTGCCACAAGCCCCACCCATAATCTTCAGGGCTCCTGGTGACTTCCAAGAGGAAGGGACACTGAAGTATTGGGCCATACAGCTGCTTAGCTTGCCCAACCAGTACCTTTGTGTCCCAATCCTATGTAGCACCTCTTTTTATTAGATTATACAGGGGCTGGGTAACCTGAGGAAAGTGAGGTATAAAAATTCACCAATACCCAAGAAATCCCAAAATTACCTGTAAGTGCTTAGCACTTATTGGTATGGGTTACTGTAACATTTTCTCAACCACTGCACTGGGAATCATGTAAGTTCTGCCTAACCATAAAACTCCTAAGAATTTTACCACTGTACCAGGCCCTTCTGTGGGTTGATTTCCCATCCTTGCTCCTTCAGGTGCACTTGCATGTTCACTAAATGAGCATCCAAACCTGTAAGGCATTCAGAAGTTAGCATTATGTCATCTATGTAGTGGAACATCCTTACAGGAGGGTAACAGGCCACCATCCCATGACAAACTGTGGGGCTATGGAGGTTACCCTGGAGACGTACTCTGAAAGTCCATTGTCATCCATTCCATGTGAATGTAAATTGATCTTGGGATTCAGTGGCTAGGGGAATACTAAAGAATGCATTAGCAAGGTCTGCTGCACAGTGGAAGGACCCCATTTCTTGCGCCAGCTGATCAGTTAGCAGTTCAATGTTGGGCACCGCTGCATGAATGGGAGGTGCAACTTTATTTAACTCCCGGTAATCTACAGTCATTCTCCAGGAGCCATCTGGATTCCTGATAGGCCAAACAGGGATTTTGAAAAGCCTGTGGGCTAGGTAGATAACTTCTATTCACTCAAGCTCCTGGATGGTTTCAGTAATTTCATCTCGATCCCCAGGCAGCTGGTACTGTTTGATATTCACCACCCTCCACGGGGTGGGCAATTTGGCTCCCATCTTGCCAGCCCCCAAGTAATCACCTTTACTGTTCGCACCATCTGCCAAAACTCTCCCACAGTAGTATGTAGGGTGTGACCCAGCAGGGAACACCCCTAAAATGTTCTCTTGAAGGGGAGAGATACACACCTTGTACTCCTGGGGCTGGAGGAATAGTTGCCCATTCCGAGAATTAGTCTAGTCTGCTTTACTTGTATGGTTTTATCCCCATACCCATCCACTGGTATCCACTGGTCCTGAAGTTTTTGAGGATTCCTGTGAATTTATGTACACTCTACCCTAGTATCCACTAGGGCTCATGTGTTTTGGATATTGACGGGGGACCAATAAATCCTCAGTTCAACGTGTGGCCTCTGGTACCCCAGTATGGCCCTCACCTTTGGGCAACCTTGGCCACCCCCTCAAGGCAGTGGTTGGGCAGGGGTCCCATCCAATGAGGATTCATTCCTCTGGAGCAGGGACACAGTTGTAGTTACCTGCACCTCCTGGTCCCCTGTTTCTCTTACTTCTCCCTTGAATTGCTGGTCAGGTCTTAAGCCTTCCACAGGCTCACATTCACAGCATTTGGCTGCCCATCTCTCTTGTCCGCAGCAACTCCTGCTCTGTGCAGATCCATCCACATCTATGCTCAGAGACATGGAGGGGCCCCTTTTCCCTTGTGTCTACTTACTTTAGCACCTTTCAAACCCTGTTTACATGTTGATCTAAATCATTTAAATCTGCCAGAGCCTCAGCAACCTTATATAGGTCATGTCCGACCATGGGGCTTCACACTGCTATCAAAGCTCCATATCAGTTTCATGGGCCTTGCTGAATCAGTTTCTTTCTTAAGTCTCCTGTAAACGCAGTCCTGGGCCCGTGAACTAGGCATCAAATACAGCTTCCCTCATGTCCATTTCCCTCAACAGAGCCTGTCCTTCCTCAATGGTTTTCCAATCTCTAATATTCATGGGAATCTCAGCTGGAGATACCCATGTATCCTGAATGGCTCATATGAGCCAATCCATCATGGACTGGTTTCCCTCATGTTGTCTTAAATTGTGACATCTTTGTCTCAAAGAGGGATAAGTGGTTATGTTGCTTAACTTCTCTGCTTCTGTAGAACTTAAAATGATTCCATCTGCCCCAAATGATTCCATCTGCCCCCATATCCCATAGCCTCACAAGCCAGGTGGCCACAGGCTCCTTCATAGCTTGTTTAAATGTCTTTCCCAGTTTGAATAGTTCTGGCGCTGAGTATTCTCTGAACACCATGTTCTTCTGCACCAGTCTTTTGTTAAGACCTCCATTGGCATGTTGGACCATGGATTTTGCCTTTCTTTGAATTAAAGGTCAGACCCAAGGAGCCTCTCCCACTATCTCTAGGTCACTTCCTTCTTCCTCACTACCCAACTCTTCCCAGGGGTTCCAGGTTTGAGGGTCCCAGGATAGGTCTTTTATTATCATTCTGATCTGGGCTTTTTTTTACTCTTTGACCTCCTAGATGTAAAAAATGGCATGCCAACACCTCCATCTCCTTTTCTCTCTTATCTAATTTACTGGCAAGGTCAGAGGCCAGTACCGAAGGGGCCAGCCTCCTATCCCTCTCCTCTTCTAATTCCTCTCTAACACCTTCGGTTTCCCTTCTGGCTAAGGCCTCTGCCTGGGACAAATTTTTTATTAACAATGGCAGCGGCCACGCAGCCTCTGCAGCTGCTTTTTGACATTTCTGTCCCGGTGTGCTACTCCCAGAGATGGTAGAATCTGTTCCAGGCCTTCTTCCCTTTTCAGGGCCTCACCATACTCAGGCATGCCACCCTACCATTTACACGATGGCTGCCACCCTGGGATCTCTCCCATCAACCTCAACTGCTTAGAAGGCCTCACCATAGCTACATATCTCACTGTCCACTGCATTAACCATACCATTTCAACCATCCCCACCCAAGCCTTTGGGAATGGCTCACCTGGTTAACATTTCCTCAGCCCAAACTCTCCCCTCACCCCACTTTACTTTGGTTGTTGGTCTCTTTCCCCATATCAGGGACATCATCAACACTCTTCCAAAACTCATTCTCGGTTTTTTCTATCCTGCTGGGCTACGCCAAATGTAAGTCAAATTCACTGCTAGGAGGTGCATGTTCCATCCAGTACTCTCCTCCCACAGTACTTGCAACAGCCTGAGGAAAAAAATTCTCCAAACCCCCGTTT